GTCCAGTCTCAGCTGGGGCATCCACCCCACCCCCTTGGGCTCTGGAACTCCATTTCACCTGTCAATACGTGGATGAGCTGTCTTAGCCATGTGTGCCCCTCGTCCTGCTCCTGAAGAGCGATACGGAATCAGTGAGGGACCTGGCCTGTAACCTGATTTTGCCTGATGGTCAGTGGGACACTGACAGGACAGACTTTGCTCACCACCCTGCTCTGCTGGCCTGCCTGACATGGTGGGACTGCACTCTCTTGGTGAGGTCTTTGCCCAGTGTGCATTGTGGTTGCCCTCAATATCTGACTCATCTCTCCTTAGGGAGACATGCTCCCTAATCCTTGTAAAAAACTTCTCATAATCCTTTCTCCAGAGAATATAGAACCTCTTCCATTTTAGTGTAATCTTTTCTCCAAGGCACAAACAGAAATTCAGTAGCATCTGAGTAGTCTCACTTATAGTAAGCAATTAAGAATAATTATTTCCCATCGTATTTCCCACTAGACATAATTCTAATTCATTATCATTACCAGAAATAATGATCTGATCCAAGTTGTCTGAGTTAATATTCTTCTTTGGCAGTAAATAAGTGTCACGTCACAAGTGACAAAGCTCATTCCTACAACAGCCACTGATACTGACCCCACAACAATACTGATACTGATTCCAACAACAACAGAGGTCCTGACACTGACCCCACAAAGCAGTACTTCTGTTTTTACAACCTGACAGCTGGCCACAACGTAGTACTGTAGGACACAAAGAGGTAACTCTCTACTCTAAAATATACATTACACTGCATATATTTGCTGTCTACACTTACTTGGTGCTAGCTTGGGTTCCTTGGAACGTTTCTGCAGAAAATCATTTGGAGTTGGCACTGCAACTTTTGCTGGCCCCATAGTTTTCCACTGAGATTTATTTTTCTCTGCTTCATGTTTCACAAGTTCTCTAAGTTTGGATATATACCTTAGAGGTTAAAAAATATCCATAAAGAAGTTAAGGGTCAGAAAAATATTCAAAATAGTTCTTCAAAGAATATACTTTTTTGCAGTAGCTTATGGCAAAAGCCTAATCTGTTTTGTTTTGTACTCTCTCCCAAATAAAGACTGTCATTGATACAGCTTCCATACTAAGGCTAAACTAATAGTGCACTGACACTGATGTTAGCTTGCTTTTCCTTCTGTTCTTGTGTCTCTGAGGTCAGGATAATCACACTTGAGGAAATAAATACCAAATATATACACTGAACATATACATTCTGAAATACAACAAAACCTAAATTTTGGAAGTAAACTAGAGTATTGCTTGCATTAATTCCTTATGGTACATGGTGTGATTCTTGGGGTGTCTTGTGCAGGGTCAGGAGTTGGACTCAATGATCCTGATGGCCCCCTTCCAATTCAGCATTATCTATGATTCTATGATTTATGCTTGAGAAAAAATGTCAAATGTAGTCAAGAATTGTACAGGATGTCCTTGTTTATCATATTTTCCTTATTATTGTCCACTGTATCACTGTCTCAATGTTCAGTTGAGCCATCTGTTACAGACTCTTATGAGAGGTGAGATGGGCAACTGCTCTGAAATAGCACAGCACACTTCACATTCCTTATGTTACACAGACAGGAGTTGTGATCCTGAACAATGGTAATCAGTAGTGGGTTTGGCACTGAAACAGTTGATGTGAAAATCAGTAAGGGCTCGGAGATGAAAAGCTGTATAAACATGGTACACACACACTGCTGTTTTGGTCTAATGTTGCATATGGCATGATAACTTCTGCTTTAATCAAAATCTCCAAAAGAAGCCAAATGCTGATCATTAGCTGATTGGCAACATCTTGCCTCTGTCTGAAGGATTGAGCTGTCACAGATGTTTGCCTGAGGGAGCAGAACTCCCTGCTCCTGAAGCGAAGGCTCCTTCACTGTACTTTTAAAATCTGCCCATCTTTAGAAAACATGTCATATTAATTTATGGTAGACAAAAGCATATGAAAAACTGTGCTTCTTTTACAGAAAAAAGTCTTTATGAATGTGTTCATGTTTTCAAGTAAAGATAAAAAAGAAGAACAAAAAAGATTACACATAGTGCAACCCATTCTATGGAAATACTGAAATAGGAAGAAACCATGTAATCCTGGACCACTGAATGTGTATGACAGTAGCAACACTGATAACAGCTCTTGTCCGTGAGCTGCAAATGTCCAATAAATGTATTTGTACTTAATCATGACATTAGAACATGTCAGAGGACTTCATTAAAACTGTGGACTTATTTTGTCTTTTGAAGATTTGGTCTCCAAAATCAGAGAGAGGATTATCTACAGAAGATCTTATATTCTTCCTGAAATACTTCTAATTATAAGGAATAAGGTTTTATTTTATTTTTTCTATTAAATTCATGGCAAACAGCAATAGACATTGCACAAACTCACCAAACTGACAAATAATAGTATTCCTCATCATTTTCTAGAAGTGGCATCCTGAGCGCGTGGGAGAGAAAGGCTTTATGCAAATTTTGACCTAGTGGGGTTCACAGTCTTGGAATGAGAAAATGCATGAGAAGACACTGACTTTCTTACATACTGGCATGAGACATCATTTGTAGATAGCTACAGACATGCCTTTTGACAAAGAGATGGGGGGATCTGTTATCTTTTTAGTGACTTTCCAGACCCAGAAAGTCACTCAATATGACAGGGTTAGAGAGGGTTGCAAGGAAGAAAACATGGTTATGACCAACATCAGAATCTAATCTATTCATCATTTAGCAAGGGAAAAAGAGACAATACATCTGTAAGAAGACAGAAGATGACTAGGTGTCAACTTGGGATATCAAAGCTGGGGAAAATGAGGATGTTTGCTGTGGTTACATGAGCAGTACCAGTCAGTTGAAAGTGAAATATATATGATTTCATTTGGGAAAAAAAACCCATGCAACAAAGTAGATTTTGTATGCATTAGTTAAAACTGGTCAAATCACGCTATTAACCAGGTTCAGTAGTCCTGTTACCAGCTGAATATTTGTCACATTGTGAACCTAAGCTGCAAGTGTGGTGACAACAGAAGTCAATGAGATCAGAAGGGGATTTAGTCAGATTTATCTAAGCCAAGGAATCCATTGCCTAAACTGAACCTAATGGTCATGGAGTATCCAAATCTCTGGACAGTATTAAGTCAGGAATGGATTTAGCGTGCATGCCTTACCATATTGTCCTTTCACCTTCCTCTGTCTTCAAAAGTATCTGTCCAAAACCGTATCCATTCACAATGAAAACACAATTTAAAGATCTACTTTTACATGGGAAGGACTCAGAACTAGGAATCTCACAAGTCTGAATCCTTTTACCTGAAACAGGATAACTATCTTTGTTCTAATGAGTGTCACTGATACATCTACTTGTTTTAAAGCTATTGAATTACGACCTACCCTTTCATTAAAGATGCTAAGTGTAACAGCCTTTTATATAAATAGGGACTTGAAAAAACAACATATCTGTATAACTCTTGTCAAAATACCTTTTTTTAATATTTCTAAGGCAAGTGCTAAGAAAGGGAAGCAGAAGAAACAATGTCAGAGGATACACCTGAAACATGTAAAGTATGGAAACTGGAAAGCTCACCTTTTCAGCTGTTCACTGAGCTGTTCTAAGTGCAAATAACAAAGATGTCATGTAATTCCCGCGCACAGAAGGAGTGCTTTGTAAATTATGAACTAACAAGATGTCACTGAAGACACCAAACTTAATCATCACTTCTTGGAGCAGACTGTAAACCTTCAGATCATAGAATCAATTAGGCTGGACAAAACCTCTGAATTATCTAAGTCCAACACCATCTTGTTAACTAGACTTGAGCACCACATCCAGTATTTCCTTATACACCTCCAGGGACAAGGATTCCACCACCTTCCCGGGCAGCCCACTCCAGTACCTAATCGGCCATTCTTGTGAAAAATCTCTTCCTGATGTCCAAGCTAAACCTGCCCTGGTGCAGGTTAGAGTTAGCGTCCTCTTGCCCGGTCGCTAACTGCCTAGGAAAAAAGACCAGCCCCACCTGGCTGCACCTTCCTTTCAGGCAGCTGTAGAGAGCAATAAAATCACCCTGAGCCTCCTCTCCTCCTGGCTAAACTCCCTCAGCTGCTCCTCATCGGACTTGTGCTCCAGACCCTTCACCATTCGCTGCCCTTCCTGGACACACTCCAGCACCTCAGCGTCCTTCCTGATGTTAGTGCCTCGTTAGGAGGGGGAGTAACTATGAAGAAACTTCTTTTTCTTCTTAAAACCCGTTAGATGCACTGCCCTGCCAGAAGCAGCTCCGTCACCCCCACATACCCGTCAGACTTGCCGGGCTGCCTCGGCCGGGGCGGGGGCTCGCAGGCGCCCTCCTGGGCACTCTGCGCGGCCATGCTGCCGCCGCGGGGCTCCGGGCACAGGGAAGCGCTGGCCTGCTTGCGGGGCTCTGGACGCGGGGCACCCAGCCCGCTGGGGCTCGGACCGGGAAGCGCCGCCGGGCGCTGTGTCTGGGGGCGGGGCGGCGGCTGTTGTCAGTTACCGGGGGAACGGCCGGGGCACGGCGCCATGAGGGGCGGGGCCTCCGCTCCGCCCGCTCCGGCAACGGCCGCGCAACGGCCGCGCAGGCGCAGCGGCCGCGGGTACCGCGCGGCGCGCGGGGAGGCGGGGCGCGCCGGGCCGTGGGACTGCGCGTGCGCGGTGCTGTGGCAGCGGCCCCCGCCCCCGCCGGTACGTGCGCGCGCCGCGCTGAGGGCGCCGGGGGGCGGCGGAGGGAGCGGCCGGGACAGGGGGGACGGGACGGGACAGCACAGCACAGCGCAGCGCAGGGCAGGACAGCACAGCACAGCACAGCACAGCGCAGGGCAGGGCAGGACAGCACAGCGCAGGGCAGGACAGGACAGCACAGCACAGCACAGGGCAGGGCAGGGCAGGACAGGACAGCACAGCACAGCGCAGGGCAGGGCGAGCGGGGCCGGCAGCCCGCGGCACTGCCGGCCGGCTGGCTGGCTGGGTGGGTGCGGTCCGTCCGGCTCCCCGCCTCCTCCCATCCGCGCTTTGACTCCCTCAGGGAGCTGCTGCAGGAGCTGGGTGCGGGGGCTGCTCTCGTGTCTATTCAAGCAGCAAGGCCCACTTTTCACTAGAGCGCTGTCACCGGCAGTGGGTGTTAACGCTGTGGGTCAGGGCTAAAGATGCTTAGGTGCTGTCCATGTCCATGTCGAGCTGAATAGCCAAAGCTAATGTTACTGGAGGTATGGGTATGCTCTGCTGCAACAACCGCACCCTTTTGGCATGGAGTTTATATCTAAAGTGGGGTGGGTGGATCATTTGACTGTTTCTACTGTTGAAGTTTTGCCAGTGGACAAAAAATAATTTCAAAGAAATGGGTTGTTTTCAGTGTTTGCGACTTTCTATGTACATGTGCTTTATGTGGGTGAGTGCAAAACTCAAGTTGATTTTAAACAATACATATGGCCTAAATTCTTAAGGCAGTCCAGATGTTTCACCCATTATCTGAGTAATGCACACCAACTGACTGCAGCTCAGAGTTAACCTCTAGTGGAGCAGGACATGGCAGCTTGGACTCTGTGCTTGGCGTGGTTTTCACTCCCTTAGGTCACACGCACAATGCTTGGAGTGGTTCTTACATTCAACAAATAAAGTCACTAAAATTTACTGGTTTTGGGTTTTTTACTCCTGAATATTTCTTCTTTATGTAATGCAAGTTTAATATGAAGATCTCTTTCTGTCCCTAAGAGGAAAATGTACATATTTATATACACAATAGAGTGCTTACTATTGCAGTACACTTTTAGAGCAATACTGGATATTACAAATCCTCTTTGCAGTTTGTTTTTCCTTTTATTATGTGTTTATAAGGGTTTCTAAAACTCTTATTTTATTAAAGATTTATAAACCCCTTTTATTGCACCTACATAGGATGATCCCCTTATTCTTTAAAAGAGTTGAGGAAAAAACCCTGGATAGCATTATATGCCCATCTTTACTCCGATCTATGCCTTGCAATGACAGCATATCCTCCAGGTCACAGCACTCGTTGCAAACACAGAAATTTACTGTTTGCAAGCTCAACTTTGCATAGAAGAGCATTTGCTCTTCCCCCAGCTCCCTCACAGTTTTAGGGAGATTTTTGAGTCTTTCCTCTTTTGCTCTAAACATCACAGACAAATCATGTTCTCCAATTAGTGCTGATATTGGTGTTTATTTCTCTAAGTAAACAAAGCACAATGTTGGGAGTTTCTTACTTTGTTGGAAATCCATCCTTCTTAGTTACTTTTTTTGTTAGAGAGTCCTCATGATTTCTATCTGTCTGTTTGTCTGTCTGTGTCTCCTTCTCTCTCTATCCTCAAATTACATTCAATACAATTCCAGTATAGGAGTTCTTGAAAAATCCCTTGCTTGGTTTCCATCCAGAAGAGATTTGAATGCAACTCATCCAGCCTTGCTGTTGCACAAGACTGTGAGTTCTCTGTGTATTTAAGTGGGTCTTGCATTTGCTTTTATTTAGAAAGAAATAATTTTTTAAAAAAATCAAAATTTTCTTGGGAGGTGGGACAAATGCATATTTTGTTAACATTTTGATTACAAAAAGGTAATCAAGTTAATTGTTACTTATAAATGTGTAGTTAAAATCAAGTCTTCTAGAAGAAAAAGTAATTGTTTTTTAATTCCTATAAGCAATATTATTTGAAAACAGTATTATAGTATTAGGTTCAGATGTCTTTTTTTACCTTCAGGACATGGATGTTTTGAAGTTGGATTGTCAGTGGAAACAAGCTGGAACTATGCAAGAGGGGAATGAATCTTACTCTGAAAAATGCCCCTTTGGCACTGATGAGGTTATAGCTGGATTTATGTTTTAAGTCTTGTTCTGAATTTTATATCTTTGAGGACTTTTTCTTAGATATTTGCTGAAGGACTAGTTACTGTTTGTTTTTGGTTTTTTTTTGGTTTTTGTTTTGTTTTGTTTTCTTTTCTTTCTGAAGCAATTAAGTGGATTGTCAAGTTGTCTTGGAAAAAAGCCCACAATAACTCATCAGAAGATGTTTCACATTTTTCAGTATCAGCCTTTAAGACTAATAACCCAAAACAGTCTTTCTAGCATGTGTTTAAAACTGATGCTTTCAAGACCTGTTGCATTTGCACAGATATGGAAGTCATGGTTATCAAGTCATTCTCTTCTTGGAAAGAAAAATATTATCCTGATGGGACCTCCAGGTGCTGGGAAAACAACGACTGGGAGAATAGTGGGCCAGAAACTGGATTGCCCTGTCATAGACATAGATGATGATGTTCTTGAAACAACCTGGAATATGAGTGTGTCAGAAAAACTGCAGGACGTTGGTTATGAGGAATTTTTAGAGGAAGAAGGAAAAGCCCTGTTGAAGTTCTCGGCATCTGGAAGTGTAATTTCCCTCAGTGGGTCCAATCCAATGCATGCTGCTGGCATGCAGCATATAAAGAAAAATGGAATAGTTGTGTATCTGGATGTGCCCACAACAGTCATTATGAGGAGGCTGAAATCAAAGCAAATGGATCGTATCGTGGGCCTTTCTCCTGGTATTTCTCTCAAAGACATACTTCAGTTTAGGAAGCAGTTCTACAAGAGGTGGTTTGACATCCGTGTTCTTTGTGGAGGGGATGTTGCAGCAGAGGTTGTAGCAGAAAAGGTACTTGATGCTGTGAAGAGATACCAAGACTCAGAACTGGAAACTTTCATTTCAACGAGGTCTAGTAGTACTGCAAGGAGTACAGAAGAAGACTCTCACAAATTATATTTCAGTGATGTTGTTATTCAGGGCTTAGCCCTTGATGGAGGACTCTTTGTTCCTGAGAGAGGGCTTCCAAAATTCACTGCTGAAGAATGGCAAGGTCTGATAGAAGCAACTTACATTGAAAGAGCCCAGGTGATACTAGAAAAATGCATACATCCTGCTGATATTCCTGCTTCTAAGCTGGCAGAAATTATTGAAACTGCTTATGGAGAAAACTTTAGTTGTTCTAAAGTTGCCCCAGTTAGGCATCTGGCAGGTAATCAGTTCCTTCTTGAGTTATTTCATGGACCAACAGCATCATTTAAAGATTTTGCATTACAGTTGATGCCACATTTGTTTGCCTACTGCATCCCCAGAAGCTGCAATTACTTAATTCTGGTAGCTACTTCTGGGGACACAGGGAGTGCTGTTCTAGATGGCTTTAGTCGTCTCCGTGATGCTGATAAACAGAGAATTGCTCTGGTGAATTTTTTCCCTGAGGATGGAGTAAGCCCAATTCAAAAATCACAAATGATTGGTTGTCAGAAGGAAAATGCTTGGTCAGTGGGTGTCAAATCAGATTTTGATTTTTGCCAGACAGCTATAAAGCAAATCTTTACTAATTCTGATTTTACTGGCTTTCTTACAGTAGAATATGGAACAGCTTTAGCTGCAGCAAACTCCATAAACTGGGCACGACTGCTTCCTCAGATAGTTTATCATGCCTCTGCATACCTTGATCTCATTCATCAAGGTATTATTTCTTTTGGAAGTCCTGTAGATATTTGTATTCCTACAGGAAACTTTGGCAACATGTTAGCTGCTTTCTATGCTAAAATGATGGGAATTCCTATTAGGAAATGTATTTGTGCTTCCAATGAAAACAATGTTTTGACTGAATTCATAAGAACAGGTGTTTATGACTTGAGGGGAAGAAAATTAATTTCCAGTTTTTCACCGGCAGTAGATATTTTGAAGTCCTCCAATCTTGAGCGATACTTACACCTGATTGGTAATGAAGACGGACAACTGGTGACACAATTATTTAATCAGCTGGAAAATCAGGGCCACTTCCAGCTGCAGAAAGATCTACTTGGAAAGCTTCAGCAGGACTTAGTGGCTGGCTGGTGCTCTGATGAGGACTGTCTGGCTGCTATTCACTCTGTGTACAGTACTACAGGATATATTTTGGATACACACACAGCTGTTGCTAAAGTAGTTGCTGATCGATTACAAGATAGAACTTGTCCAATTATTATTTCATCTACAGCTCATTATTCTAAGTTTGCACCTGCTATCTTAAGGGCCTTGAGGATTGCAGAAATAAATCAGAATCCATTAAGTCAGCTTCACTTGCTGAGTTCTTACAGCGCTCTGCCTCCAATCCACTGGGGCCTATTGGAGACCCTGAAGAAGACAGGAAATGGGGATCACCAGGTCTGTGCTGCTGATATAAGTGTGCTGATGTCTCATATAGAAACCTTAATTCAAAATCATTTCATGAAAGTTTTTTGAGCAACGCATCCAATGTCCGCAATTGCAATAAGTTCTTAACAAGCTGCATGCTTTACTAAAGCCATCATTCATCAGTTCACAGCATATCTCACAGTTTTATATTCAGTTGTCAAGCTTTCAACAGTATTTGTAAGTAACATGTGTGAGATTTCTAGTGGTGGTGAAAGGATGTGAATTGAGAGTGTAAAAAACTGGAATACCGCTTTGCAAATCATACAGTAGAGATGCCAGCACTGCTGGCTTTCCTTGGCAGTGCTGTTTCCTTCACAAGCCTGAAGCATCCTCAACAAAAGGAGACAGTGAATTCTGACCTTTCTGGAACTAATAGCTCTGGTTTTGTTCCAACAATGATGTGAACCTTTGGTCAGTGGATGTTTAATTAAACTTTAAATCATTTCACTTAGGGCAGTGAAACATAATAATATACTGGTGTTCATATGTTAGTAATGAGGGTTGATTTCACTACAAAGATTAAAATGTCCTTGTATTGTTAATCCTTGAACCATTTAATTTTTTGATATATTACCTTCTTGTATAATGTTTTTTATGTATTGTGTTGCCAGTGTCTAAGTAAAAAAAAAAAATCTAGTCATTTTAACACCCTTTTCCCCCAAAATATTTTCCTGTGTCAAACAAAATACCTATTTGAATATTTTCAATATATTTGAGGTGTGACTCTTCCTCCAGTGTCTTGTAGTCTCTTTTTTAGATGGTTTTTATTTGAACTTTCAAATTTAGAATCCTTTTTAGTACTATAGAAGAATCTGATAGTGGTAACAGCTGTCTTCTTAAATAAGAACCAGACTTCACCATTTATTTACCTATATTTTTTGTTTTATCTTTGAGATCATATAGCTTTTCTTGTTCTAATTACTTATGTTTTCATATTTTTCTTAAGTTCATTTCCTTGATGTTATATTCTATTCATGCTTTGCATGAATTAATGTAAGAAAGAAGCTTCCCGAATTACTTGGCATCTCATCAAGGCAAGTGAAAGATGAATTCCAGTGTGATAGCATCAGAAGTGTTCATTATGTAACCCAAAATACATTTGTGTGGTTTTCCTAATGACAGGCTCTTTGGTGTTGTTTTTTTTTTTTTTTCTGAAGAAAAATTAGACTGGATTGTCCTAGGAGATCATGTGGTTATGGACAAATGTATTCTGCTAATTGAAGATTATATTTTGCAAGGACATAAACTACATTTCATACTATGAGAAATGGTAAAATGATATATTGAAAGGTTTGAATGGCATGCAGTTATAGAGCTAAGATTGTCTTAAGATGTAAGGACATATAGCTATGAGAAGTTGTGTTTCCTACTAAGATTCAAATAATCTGGTAATTTATAACATTTTTTTGCCTCTTCAATAGGCAACATTTCCTACATGTCAAGACTCACTTGAGGCTTTGAACTGTTGTTGTATCCAACAGCTTCCTCTGTGTGCCTGCTTGTACTTTTTGTCACACTAGAAGTGACCAAGTCACCATCTAGCAAATCATCTAGCAAACTCTTTTAAAGAACTGTAATTTCTTCCAGCATAAGGTAAAAGTCCCAAGCACGATGTGCCTTTGCCACAGTGAATATATATACAGTATCACTAAGTGTAGCTGAGAACATGGGTTTGACACAGTAGCTTTCTAGATTCCTCCATTTTTAGATGCATTTTTAGGACCTTTCTAGTTCTTTGCTCAAACCTTATTCACTATTTCTGCAGTAACTTTGGAAAACAACTTTTTATTTTTATCAAATTGTGAACAGACCAGGTTGGAAGTGACCTAAAAACATCGTCTGGGCCAACCTTTTGTGACAAGTTGAGCCTAGATGAGATTATCTAGCACCCTCTATGGTTATATTTTAAAAACTTACAGCAATGGAGACCTTTCTGCATCCTTGGGGATATTGTTCAAGTGACTGAGTGTTCTCACTGTAAAAATTTCTCTCTTGTACCAAAATGAGCATTCTCCTGGTGCAGATTCCCCCTTGTTATCTCCATATGACTCCTTGTGAATAGAGAGCTTCCAATCTCTTCCTAACCACCACTGATGTATTGGACAACTGTGCTGAAGTGCCCACTAAGCCTCCTGTAGTATGAAAATATCTAACTCATTCAGCATCCTCATAGGGCGGGGGAATTTTCATCATTTTCCATATACAACCTGGGAAAGACCATGATTAAATAATTTTTAAAAAAAGCAAGTCCTGTAAGAAAAAGTTGCATAAGCATATTGCAAAGAAAGAAGCACTGTTTTTATCAGTGTTAAGTCAGCATCCACCTTGTATTTCTGTATGTTTCAATATGATTCTTACAGTAATTCCAAGTGGAAAAATGTAATGCTTTCTCTGGACGTGCTCAGTGCAAAACCAGAATTCTAAATCTTGAAAATAAAAACCCAAAACCAAACAAACCAAACTGCTTGGATTGAAGTACTGGGACAGGGCTTTGTTTCAGCATAAGGACTCAGTGGAAATCCTGCAGTACTTGGTTCCATGGGGCTTAATGCATCACAGGGCAGTTTGTCGCAAAGTGTTACAATACTTTATAGAAATATCTTCAAAAAAGAACTTGTTTTTGTAGAAAGTACCTGAAAGGGAAGAGCTGAGATTCTAAACAAGATTTAGTCTTATCTTAAAACTTATTCTAAACAAGATTCTAGTCTTATTTTAAACAAGATAAGACTAGAAGCCAATATCCTACCCTCAGATAACTCGGTGTTAGATAAACTAGTCAGAACTAAACTAGCAGGGGATTTATTTTGGCATCACTAAATTATTTTATAGTTCGTGGCAGTAACCCAAGCATTGTTTGAATTTCTAGTTGCTGTTTTCCTATCACATGACCCATTATAGCAGTTGATATAAACTAAGCAAGTAAAAAAATAAGCACTTGTACTTAGGTAAGGGCTTTTAATGTGGACTTACAGTGTCTAAGGGCAGTGGTTAATGAGCACACATAATATTAATAGATTTCTCAGAATGTAAAGGCTTTTACAATATAGTATTTACTAATTTTCAAAAATAGTTAATTTTTGGATTTTCTTAACTTCAATAAACTGTTTTCCTGCACTACATCTGCTTGTGGATCCTAGTAATGAACATTTTAAAATGCTGCAGTAGTGTTGTGATCCTGGATGTACACAGTATTTGTGAGCTGATGCTAATGCAGTGTTCTGGTAGCTGTGGTGTAGCTTTCTGTCCTGCAGGGCCTGTAGCAAAGGAAAAAAAATTTCCAGCATGCTCAGAATAGCTGGCTGTGGGTACATAGGATAATGAGGGAAGCAATCCTCCTTTCTTCCTAGCCCAGATTTTCTTAGTGTCAGTGATACACTGTCGCTCAGCAAATCTTGTGCTACTGTTATGGTCCTTGTTTTCCCCACTGTCAGTATTATGAAAGATTCGAAAGGCATTAAAGACTGGGCATAAGTGCCCTTTTTTTTGGTTTTGTGTGTTCAGTGTGCAGACACTGCACACTGAATGCTGTCATACATTATTTTCTATTAACTTCTTCAGGCAAAGTAGTGTGCCAGTGGTACATAAAAGCAAATCTATATTGTGCTGGTTAGCAGTATTTAAGCCATTTAGGTTTGCTGATACACAGTTTGCTCCTATTTGTCTAGCAGAATCAATTAATAAAATCCAGGTTGACAGAACATATGAGCGTGCAGGTCTACACATTTCCACTCCCTTTGTTGACCCAGAGTAATAGCATGGCTTTAGTTAAGCTGTTACTTTCTGTATAGATAAATCTTTGCTGAACACTTCCTACTACCTGAAAAACCTCAGGGACAAATTTAACAAATGTAAGGAGAAATACAACATCTATATTTACACTTTATATTATAAGAATATTTATGTGGGAAATACTATATTTTCTTTACAGATGTACCAGGTGCTCATCACTTGCCTTTAGTCACAGCTCTTCTTCTCAGGGGGGAGACATGTGAAGGATGAATAGAACATCAGAAGATAATTCTGTTTTCTTAGTATTTTATTATATAAAAAGAATTGCTGTTTACAGTTTTGAGGTGATGAAATATTTTATCTGATGGAACTCTACAGGGACGATTCTTGTTGTTCAAAAGCTTTGCTTTCAAGGACTTCAAGAACAGATATTGCTATTAAGTATATCATATTTGGCATACCTGGAATACACATTACTCATTTGTATCCACTGTGTTTTTTTCTAAATAAACACTGCAGGATTTATATAGCACTGTAGCACTTTCTTTGCAAATATGTTTGTGAATTCTTAACAATCTGCTATAAAGAAAATCCACTAAAAGTAGTGGTTTCAGAGTCATTTAAGATATTCTTAAGTCTTGAAATATGTGTTCCATCCTGTGTTTCCTTGAAAGTTAGGGGTATGGTTAGTGATAATACAGTCATTCACTTTGCTGAGACTAAGATTTTAGTGAGATAATGTGCATCACTGGAAGGAAGTATGTATAAAAGAGAAAGCACAGATCAAAAATAGCAAATGTCTAAATACTCTGTTTGCATTGCACCACATACTTGTCCAGCGCTACACGGAAAGCCTGTATTCTGAGGATTAGTATGGAAAAGTAAATCTCTGACAGTTTAATGTTCCTTATTCCTGTCTAGTTCAGTGGAGAGATTGTCTGTTAGTTGATGTGGAGCAACTTTGGTACACTTCTAATATCATTTCAGGATCATGGGCTTAAAAATTACTTGAATGGTTGAAGCCACAATGAGCAGTTGATGTCAGTGAATTAATGTGAATGGGCCATTGATTCTGAACATGTATTAGCAGCTTAAGGAGGATTTAAATGTCACTGTGTTTTTTCACAGTGGTTTCAAATGTGCTCAGCTTGCCTATCAGACCTGGGAAGCTGTTGCTTCAGATTTTTTTCAGAATGTAGCAATCTAAAAGACAACTGTCTTGGTCTTGCTCTCCATCTTAGCTAAAACTTTCAAAGATCTCTCAGTGTGGACCAAGACCTAAGCTGTTTGCTCATTTTACTTGAGAAGACTTTATTTCCTGATAAGTGTTTAAGATCCTGTCTGGTCTCTTTCTTGGCAGTATAGGAAAATTATTCAATGGAATTAAGATAACACCTGATTTACTTGCTTGTGTATGATATTACAAAATTTAGCCAAGGAGAACATCCAAGGTGTTTTCCTTGAACAACACAGGAACACTTTTTTCATAAAAAGTGTATCTCACGTTTCACAAAATCAGTTACATAGCACAGGAATTGTTACTCTAGCATTTTATTTAGATATTTTGTCACTGGTATTTGGAACAGACTTCAATTTTTAAATAGTTTCTTTTATTTTAAAGAGTTATTGTTACATAAATATGGAGGGTATCACTTCCAGATTTAAAATTCATCATGACAATAATTGAGTCAAACCTGAAAGAACTCAACATGCAAATTGGAAAGGGAAGACTTAACAGATTTGTTATGTGAGTTCACACAGGATTTGGCTCTTAACCATGAGTTTATTAAGAACATAGGAGGAAATAGACTAATGACTGTCCAAATCTACAGATGCCACAAAACTTAAATACTAAGGAGCCACTTAATCAGAGCAAGATTAATTTCTTGGTTAGGAGCTGTAAGCAATTTGCATTTTACTCTGGCCTAAAGTAGACCTGTTTTTTTTGGAGAATAGAGGTTTGAACATACTTAGCAAGTTAAACTGTTTGTGGCAGGAAATGCTGCTGACTTTGAATGGTGTCTGGAAATGATGTGCATTCTCAACTGAGTATGAATTTTCAGCATGCCTTGTGGCCAAAAGGACCAGTGCCAGAAGGACAAGAGGTTAGAAATGGGAATACTGCCAGGGAAGAAATACTGCTGTCTGTAATTTGCTTTGGTGTAACCTTTTGGAAGAATATTATGCCAAATTTCAGTAGTCACAATTTTTAGTAATGCTGGGAAGCTGGACAGAAAAGAGTCATGAGAGCAATAAAAGTATTAAAAAGAAGCACTAGCATGAGAGTCTCAGAAACCAGAAAATCTTAGTTTAGTGAAAAAAGAATCAGCCTAGACAAACCATTTTCAGAGAAAAATTGATAATACAGAGCTGTTCCACCTAGCAGAGAAAGAGTGATCCAGCAAGTCTAAGCAGAAGGACATGTTGCAAAAAGAGATAAAATATATAACAGAACAGTAAAGGCATCCCTAGTCTGGACATATTAGATGATTTCCTGAAAAAATGTGATTTGATAGAAAGAGGACTAATTCAGACAAGTCAGACCCATGGTACACAAGAGGTCAAACCAAACAGTCACAAGTTGTGTTTGGCTGCCCCAGGAGTAACTTGCCTTTAACAAAAGTATGAACAGCATTTCACAGAGGTTTGAGAGATAGAGATTATGAACTAATTTCAGTTCTGCTGTGGTGTGATCAGTACACAGTGCAAAATAGGCTACTGGATATGTTTAGCCTTGTTCTTGCTGTCTCTAGAGAATTGCAAATGGACTACTAATGCATACCCTGACTTGACTCATGGCTATTAGGATATGGCTCATTAGTTTTAAATTTCATTATACAATATGCCTTATGATGGTTTGGGCTATATATACTTTCATTATGAAAATGAGGTGAAGAGCACAGGAGGAAAGTGTCTGTGTAAATGTCAGCTTTATTGAATGTAGCTAATTTTATTTATTTTCTCAAGGTTTTAAAAGTTGGAGATCTTTTGAAATTTATTAGATGCTTTTTGGCCACTTTTTTCTCGGCTTTTACGAGCAACTTGCAATCCAGTGGCCATTTTCAATTCATTTTCATAATAAGACTTATATGACAAATGGAAAAATCCAATGGTTCCTTTTTATAGTTAAACTAGAACTTATATATACCAATTAAAGCTTAGAGAAGGTAAAATGTACTCATAGGTTCTACTCTAGCAATATATTTTGATTTAAATGTATTTTTTCATTAAACTAATTCACTAAATTATATCTAAATAGAGCAGGCATTTAGTGGATTTGTTTTCTAAGTATCTGTGGCAATCTGGTTCTGTTTAAAATGCTAATAAATGCATTCCATCTCCTAATGAAACCAGTAGTCCCTGCATAATTAATTAGCATTTTATACAGATGAACCATACTCACAGAATTTTTCTACCAGAAAGGTTAATAAAAGAATTCAATGCAGTTTTTAAACACCACAAGAGTGGCTTATTTCTGCAAAACCAGTTTTTTACAAGTAAACATTTTAGTGACATTTACGTGGAACTGTTGTTTCATACAGCTTTTATCCACAAGGTGGCATTCCTAACAGGAGTTTGATAGACATGGTCATTTCTTGCAGTTTTGTAAGAGCTCTAAGTGTGAGGCGGTCATAAGCATATTATATGAGCTTTTTATGTTTTCATTTTTATAAAGGGTAATTAAGAGAAATTTAAGAAACCTTAATGATAATTAGGTTAATACTCATTGGTGTGTGGAGTATCCAGAAATATGTGATGGTTCCAGGTTACAAAACAGCACATTCATTCATGGCATTATATGCTACTAGAGACTTTTCAACTGTAAAGCTGGAATCAATTTTGCTTTAGTGAAAGAGTCTAAAATAATAATTTAAAAATTAATTAAATCAAGAGCACACATAATACCATGGTCTTGTACGCAAACCCTAGTGTTTGGTGTTTTGAACAGGATGAGGCATATGGAGCTTGTAGTGAGGTCTGGGCTAAGGAAGGGCAGATAATAGTGTTCCTGGGGAAAATGAACATGTGAACAATTATGTCTTGCTCTGCAGGGGAGGATTTTTCATAGTTTAATGTTACAATGACCAAGCAACTTATTTTCATATGCCTGTCATCCAGGTTGATAACTGAGCCAGCAGGCAGCTCTGCTTTCCTTCAGGCTTTATATTTCAGTTTCTTGCAGTCTTTATATGGTCAATTCAAATATCGTGTTACTCTTTTTCTTTGAATACAAGCATGAAGGAATGTTATACAACCTGCTAAACTGATACAAGTGCACGAGATTTTATATAGCAGGGACGTGCATATTATACTTTTCTGCCCCATGGTTAAAGTCCTGATCTACTTTGCTTTTTTGCTGATTCTGTAAGATCAGACCTTAGCTGATCATTTATATCTCACTTCTAGCTGGTGCCCTACTTGCATTTTTGTTTGCAAAAGAAAAAAAGGTATAACCTAAAGTTTCTGCTGAAACTGTAATCCAATGTAAATTGTGGAATTTTTTCTAAGCCTATTTTGAGTCAACAGAAAGGAATATGAGTTATTTGGTTTTTGATTTATTGTTTTGTGGTAGCAAAACTTCTGTGTAATCTTTTCTAATGTGTGTGTACGTTTCCTGCTAATCCCTCTGCTCCATGTGCTGACTCCCAGTGACACCTCAGACCTCTGGGTTTGGTTCCTCTCACTTAACACAGCTGAAAGGACAGAGCAGCAGCTGCACCACGGCTGACACTAATGACAGTCTTTGCTGGGTTAGTGGGCACAGTTTTGACATTAAGCAGATATTCTTTTTCCTAACATTCTGCTGTACCTCTATCATCCTCAAAGATGGCTCTGCAAAACAGAGTATGAATTCCTGTTCACTGAAAGCAGTTGTCAGTCAGAAAACCCCCACTTTCAGAATGATCAAGCTGGTAGAACCTACTTGCTGGTTGAATCTGGCAATAAGGACTGTAGAGACAAACCTTCTGAGTTGGTAGTATCTTATGCAGACTGCCAGTAAAATTTGAGGGCCTGAACATCTCCCACATGCTGCAAATTTTAAAGAAATGTGGTGAAAATTACTATTTCCAGGATCTGGAAATGGACTGACAAAAAAAGTTAATATATAATAATTATGAAGTGTTAATGAGGAAGTAAATTATATATTGTTGTTGCCTTTCAAGTTAAGCTACACACTGAATTTTCTTTATAGTAATTAGGCATAGCACTAGGTGAGTAAATTAAATATAGGAAAAACAAATATACAAAAGAAAACCAAATGGAAAGAAACATTCTCTGCTCTGGTGGCTGCCATGTGGAAAGGGTTTATGGTCTGTAGATAGAACTGTACACAGCTATGCAAGGAAACAGGTTAGTCAAGGTAATGGCAGGGCTCAGGGTCCCCAAAAATGCTGTAATGTGTCGGGTGTGATGGACATCACCAGGAGAAATCAGTAGTCTGGAGCATTGCTGATGTTGCTTCTGGGACATCTCATGATGTTGGATCAGATGGATATGTACTCCAACTCCCAGAAATGGGGGAAAGAAATTAGGCTGAATTGTCCTTTTGCCTAAGAGTGTCTCAGTTACATGATAGCGACTGTAAGTTCACATAAGCCAGCACTTGCAGGTAACACTGTCAGAAAAAACAAGCTGTACTGACTGCAGACAAATAGTCCTGATACTTCATGATGGATCTGCAAATTGCTTTGATAGTACAAAGCACATCAGGGGCTAATTTGATGCAGCTCATTGTTTGCAAGAGGTGGATTATAAATGTTTGGAATTGCATCTTATGTAACTGCTGTTGGATACGCATACCTATAAGTGTGAAGTGGGAAAGGAAAATGTGATACTGGGAACTGTAGCCACAAGTATTATCACTTTCCATATGTAACAAACTTATGCCTAGGGCAAGGAAGCACAATTACTGACAGAAGCTGTGTTTGCTCATGCAGGTGATTTTATTGTTCTAAGTGATTTATTACTCTGGCTAACATTTTTTGATGAAAGATTTTTCTGGAATGATTGTACTCCAAAGGAAATTTGGTATTGTTTACCTTCAACAGATGACCAGGTCTGCCTATTAAAAATGTTAGATTTATCAAGTACCTTCATGTGGGTTTTAAATTGGTGGAAGACAAAGGGTCAAAGTTTGCTTCCCTAAGTTAGTCACATAATCTCTTTCAGTCTCTCCCTTTCACTTCCTCAGTCTCAAAAATCTACAACTACACATTTGAGAAACTTATCAGATACTTAAATATTTAATGTACTTCCAAATTGTATTATTTTACTTCATCTGTTATCAAAAATATATGCTGGATTCTCTGAATTTATATTGGGTGCTAATGATACACTGATGATTTCTGAAAATGGAAAAACTGTTCTTACTTCATTTACAAAAGGTAAAAATATGTTACATTTTCAAACTGTTAAATCTAGCTTTTAAGTCCTGATTCCAGGAAGTGTGCAGTACCTGAATTGCAAACACCTTGTTCTTTGTGCTCCTAGGTCACTGATGGTAAAGTTCGTATTTCTTATGCATTTATTACTGTGAAAATAAATAGTTATAAGTCCAGGTCCCTTCCTTCTCAGAGGGATCTGAGTGCAAAACAGAATTATTTACTGAGTTACTTTGGCCTGACACTAGAATTACTTTTAGTAAAGACGAATCAAACCTAATACTCAGTCAACTCCTGTTCAAAATGCAGAGTGATGAAGCTGAGCCAGAAGACATTGAGTGCAAAGTGAGCTTTTCAGCACTGTATAGAGCCAGTATAAAAGCTGGTTGAAAACTACTTCACAAACTAAGATCTCCCAATATCAAATTTTAACTCACTGCTGCAATGCACAGCTGATAGCTGATGGTAGAAATATAAATCACTTTTTAAAAAATCTGTCCAAAATAAAATTTGCCTTCTGTGAGAACTTAGCTTATTGTGCTAAGCCTCAGGGTGAAGAGTGGATCTCCCACCCCCATGGTGGTGGCTCTTCAGTCAGTTCAGGGGCAGCAGAAGGAATCATTTTCATTTGTTTTTTTTTTGAGGTTTTTTTCCTCTTGTATTAATTGCACGATCTGCTTCATGAATCAGCTTACATTTAAATGGAACAGCTTAAAAGTAATTGTGCAGCTGAGAAACTGATGAGTTATTGTGCCTTATGGCTACTGTGGCTGTGTGGGTGAGGACCAAGAAGACAAAAATTGGTCTCTTTAACCTCCAGTGTCCCTTAACTCTCCTCCAGTGAGTTTCCTGTCACTTTAATTTAAGAAGTATTTTGATGAGCTTATGAAAGCAATTCTATGATGCATTTGTCTACAGTTCCCCAGAAACAATTGCCCAATCCTGTGTTCCTAAATTCCCTACTGTACATTGCCTTTCATTTTTTCCTTTTTTGATAGCTGTGTTAAATTTTGTTAGGGCTGATGCTGTGTGTAGATCTGGTTTTAGAGGATAGACAGATGAAATAAGCAACATTTGAGTGTCATTGAGACCACTTTAGTAATTTTTTTTGTTTGCAAAGCAGATGTCTCTGTTATGCACTCATATTCTTCACTGTCACCTATTATCATAAATATTAGCATAACTGTTTTTTTAATTCTGTAAGCCTTTTCATGGGACATTTTAAAATCAGTCTTTGTAGGATAAATTTCTCTGTATGTTACAACTCAAAATACCAGAATCTTAAAAAAAATCTTGTAATAAGCATTTCATAGTTAATGTAATTAAGTTCCTTTCAGCCTGGTACTTGGAATGCAAATCAAGAGTTTTATTTCCCTTTTGGAATCAGGTACCCTTTGAAATGTTCATGATGAAATTCTGTAAACTGTGTTGTCATTCTGTGTTGTGACACTGTGTTGTTACTGCACTTCTTTCAGAAGAATTTTAAAAACTGCCATGAGTTCTGACTGTAAGGAAAAGTGTATATATGCAACAATTTTCAGGAAAGGACAACCAGAAGACATGATTTTGTTATTATAACTTTACTTAAGAGGAGAAGAGGTACATATGTATGAGTATGAGGATTTTTGGTAAGTTTATATCTTTCTCAGAAAGCTTGAAAGTGGTGATTTTTGCAAGATTTCAAATTAGGGGATTAGGGGATGCTGGTTTTTTCCCCTCCACCTTACTCCTACCCAAATTCATAAATGAATGATACAAAAGTTTTAAAATCAGACTTCACTATGTAGAAAGTAAAAAATGGGTGGAAAGAGCAGCAAAAAACAGATCAAGTGAATACTCAGAAGGTAGGCACAATTCTGCTGAGTGTCTGCAAATTGAAGCCTAAGATTTAAAATCTGACCCTTTAAACAGTTCCTTTAACCATGACTATGACTAAGGCTTCCTAGCCTTAATATCTTACTATAAAAGTGGAGCTGTGGTTTTCTTGAGAGATTTGTGTAAAAGCCTGCTGCAGTGAGGGTAGGTACCAGGGAGACAGCTTTTTGGAGGGGGGGTGGGGCTGAGAGGAGTGATTCTACTTCTTGTCTGCCAATAATTCTGAGCTAAAAGACAAAGAAAGAATTTAAAATTTTATTTAAACTTTTTATTCAAAAATGGTGTTTAACATGGAATGAGGATTTATGGTTTAGCAGTCTATCTGAAGCTGTATGATTTTATATATATGCACATAATGTACATGCCTAGAGGTTGCATATGTATTTCAGTTTGTTGTGTGCATGGCATATCATGCTTGCTGGATCAATGTGAGCCATCTTGACTGGTGCATCTCAGATAATGTGTTGAAAGAGATGTGCATCCCTGTGAAGAAAGAGATCCCTGTGGGTACCAGTCTGCTGCATCATCACATCCAGATGGGATCTGTTGTCTTTCCTACTCAAAGCCACTTTGAAGTCACAGGGGGACCACACTACTTCCCTGAGCTGTGCTGTCAGGTTCAGGGCTTCTGCAGCCCAGGTCTCCAGCTGGCCTTGACCCTTGGCTGGTTGTGTGAAGCTTCGTTGCCTGACCTTGGTTCACTGTCATTGAGGAAGATGTCACTGAGCTCTGAGAGTCTGTAAACTGAAACTGTGCAAGATAAGAAGAGTAAAAACAAGCAGAACTGAGTGTGCTGAGCTGGTAACTGTCTTGGGGACTGGGGACAAATACTGACATGGAATCTAAAAATCTAAAGGAGAAAGCAAAGGCTTAGAAAATGGCATCTCTGCAACTGTGAGGACTTGCACTGATTTACTGGGGTATTTTGACACGAATTAAAGACATTTCTTATTAAGTATAAAGTGTGCAACACCAATAAAAGACAAGAGAAACGACTTAATATGCTTTTCTTTTCTTTTCCCTTTTTCCTTTTCCATATGGACCCTCATCTCATCAGCTCCTTCCTGACCTGTCTGAAGGATGCTTCTCTAATCAGCCTCTGGTCAAAAGTGCTTCTTGATACCTTTTACTGTTCTCATTTCACTCTGTGAATCATACAGTCCCCAAGGCACACTTGGCATGTGGTACTGTTCTCTCACTGCTCTTGACCCCAGTGTCCACGCTGGCATGGTGTGGTGGCCCTGGAGTGGCTGCAGTGACCAGCCAGCCCTCTGGCCACCCACACAGGTGTCAAGCTTGGTATCAGGGCTGGAGGAGCAAGACCAACATTCTCAGCCCTGATGTGAGTGTCTGGGGCTGGGCTAGGAACTGGGGACCCTAAATGCTCTGCACTATTGCTTATACAAGCCAGGTGAAAATAACTCTGGTTTCCAATCGCAGCAGTCGCCAGTCACTGCTGGGCCCTGGCAGAGGTTCCTGACCTTGCTGTCACAGCCAAAGTCACCAGCTGTCTCCAGAAGCACACTACATTTATACATGGCAGTCTCTCTGCTGTCTTCAGATCCTCCTGATTAAAGAAATTATCTCATTTTGGGAGTGTCAGTTTTGGAGTAGCCTTCATAGGCTTCATGTTTGGATGTACTATTTGTATAGATGGCCTGTTGATATGCAGCCTTACTGAACTTCTGTTGGTTTTCACTTGGTCTGGACATGGAAGAAATGCTTGTGTGGCTTCTGGCATTGCTCTGCAACTCCTCAGACCAAAGTGGAGATGCTGTATCTCCTTGTCTTTCATGCCCTTTAGACTAGGCCCCTTTCCACCAGCACTGTGTTTCTTGATGCCAGTCTCTTCATCTCAGTTCTGATGCCAGGTAGTTTAGCAAGCAGAAGAGCACTGGACAAAACAGATGACCTGGGCAATTTTAACTGGACTGAAAGTACACCTTGAATCAATATGTTTTAATCTGAGGGGTTTTTGTTTGGTTGGGTTTGTTTTTTGTTGATTGTTTTATTTGTTTATTTTTAAATGAAGATGCTAACATAAAATGTTTGGCAGATTAGCTGTCCCTGAAATGTCAGTTCTGAGGACTAGATTTGGAATGGGATTTATGTCTGATTTTGTTAGTCTCCATTTAGGCATATAGTGGAAGTTGCATCTACTTCACTAGTTGCAATCAGACCAATCAATACCAATACCAATCAAATTTTAATTATATCCATATTGTGTGGATTTCAGCTGCAGTTTCAAATGCATGAAAATGCCTGCTATTTGCTAACTGATATTTAAAGAAAAAACTTAGAGATTGGAAAATAGTAACATTCAAAGAAATTAGAGATATAATTTTGCACTTAAAGTGGTTAAGAAATTCCTTCAGTGTATTCTTAACTAAAGAGAGGAATAACAAGTGATAAAGAACCAAGAGGCAGAGAAAGAAGACAGGGAAGTGGCTGTAATGTTAAGAAGGAAGTTCATAACTCATTAATGTAGGGGAATTATTTGGAGATATTAATGTTATGGTGTACAAGGGAAGTGCAATAGCTTTCTAGACCTTTTGGCAAAATTTTAGATGCGCGTACAATGGCTGAGAATAAATGGAAGTTTTTTTCATTAGGTTGATAATTAGGCAAAAAAAAAAAAAGTGGGGGAAAAGCTGTAAAGAGAAGTTTCTTTTATCTGGAAAAAAATTACAATCATGTTGAAAGCTATTTATTAGAGAGAAAGAGAAATAGCTAGATTACCTCAATCTAGCCTGTAAACTTTGTAGTTGGATGATTTTCTATACAACAAAAACCCCATTAATGTTAACTCCAAAGTTGCAGTGAGACAGGATACTATTGAGAGGTCTCCAAAGCTACAAAGTGTGAATTAGATATAGACAAAATATAAAGATACATCAGTGAACTAAACTGCCCACATGGTTAAATCACTTGGGAACCTGGAGAAGTAGAATGTTGTACACCAGAAAGAGACAAAGGTGCTCAGGAATAAAAGGCTTCCTAGTCACACTCTGAGCTTCTGCTATGTAGAAACTGCTGCTGCTCAAACTCCTCTAAGGAAACCAGTCTCTGGTGTAAGCTGAAGGCAGAAATGTTATTGCATGGTGTACAATAGCATTTACCTTTGGGCACTTCCTAAAGAGGCAAAAGATAACTTTTGGAGAGAGACTCACAGCAGTCTATCAAATGGAAAATAAATTATCCTCTCCTGCAGCCCACTCCATTATACCCCTCTGCCCTTAGCTGCCTCCTTTGAACTTGGATTCACTACATTTCCAGGCACATCTGAGCTTAGAGAACATATTATATAGCACAAGGGAGAGCAGGTGGTCCTGTGCAGCCCTGTTTGTGTTCTGCCTAATCTGAAAGATTGGCTTTTGGAGGAGGGGCAGGGATCTGGGGGCAATATATGCAATTCATCATCATTCTTTTCACTGACTGTGAGAAACTGCTACACCTGCTGCTCTGCTTCAGATGGGCTTTGAAATACTGGCAGGCTGAAGGACATAGGAGTTTTTCTTTCATGATAACAAAAATAAGCACTTTGTTCTGGTATCTGTAAAGCTAAGGCAGTTTCCTACAAGCAGCGATAATTCAAGAGCAGTTTCTGGCTTGCAACTGATACATAAACAAGGGTATTTTTGGAAGTGCTAGTTGCTTTTATTATTAAAAAAAATAGGAAAGAAGAAAAAAAAAAAGAAAATCACTGCTAATTTTCAGTTTGCTGAGTTTTTAAAAACGTAATTTCCAAAATAAACACTTTGAATTATCAGGCAGAATGGAAATAACTCTTTGCTGTGAGACAAAATCAGCAGTGCTTAGTATAGCATGACTACTAGAAACCATTGTGCTCTCAGAAGGAGTCTGAGTGCCTTTATGCCACAAAAAGTTCCAACACTGTTCATCTGTGAACCAGAACCCAGAATAATGATGCAAAGCAAATGCCTACTGATGTACACAACCTGTCCAAGGGGAATCAGAGTGAGTTAGAGGATTGGCATGGTGCCTGAAACCAAACTGCTGGTATGGCTGGCCTGATGGAAAAAAGACCCAATACACAGTAGCTCAGAGTCTGTGTTGGAAGATGAAAGCTGTGAGTGCATTTTCTGTGTTTGCCAGGCACTTTTGGAGAAAACTGGGAAAATTCACTCCTGGTTCATTGAAGGTTTTCACAAATCTGGAGATGCCAGGCCTGGGTCTGCAGTGCAGGAGAGGCCACGTGCCACCTGTGTGACTGTTGTGGCAAAAAAAACTAATGTGGCCTCCCCAGTGTGGAAATTGGGGAACTCGGCTGCCCTGCCCTGCCATGCCTGGGGTGAGCACAGGGCTCTGGGTTCTGCTTTCCAGTGCTGCCTGCCCCATCCCATCCTGCCTGCCCCATCCCATCCTGCCCTGGCCCACTTCACCCTTTTCCCTTGCTGCAATGCCACAGCTGCCTGGTCCACTCCCTGCACTGAGTGGTTTTACCTGCACTACTGAGAGCCTTGGGGCTAATTTGGGCATTTAGGGAAGGCAATAACAGATATGCTGTGTATAATATAGATAAAGTAATGTTTTATTTGGGGGAAAAAAAATACAGTTTCCAAACAGCATTTAAAAATGGATTGCAAGAAGAAGCTGCACTTCTCTTGTAAATAACAACATTTAAAAAATGTCCATTGTAAATACAACCTGTAACTTCATTGAAGTTCATTTATTTAATTAGGTTATGAATTATTTGAGCTTTGTTCATCACCTTGCTATGTGACTGACTGTGTAACATTAGCATCTACATCTGTGTGGGAGAAATATTACTGTGCGTCTTTGAAGCCAATGACCCTGGAATTTCGGAAAAAAGGGTTTAATTAAGTGTTGGATTTTCCTTTATGGAAACTCTGCAACCTGATTCATTTCAAGTGAATCACAGAAGTGCCATGGAGCCCAGTGGAAGTGAGATTGGATTATTGCAAAATGCAGGCTTAAAATGAATTATGTATTTATTAACTTTAAAACAATTATCCATGACATTCCTTCTTAACCTTTTCATTATTGTTTTACACAGCCTAAAATAGCTACCCATGAAGTGGCTCTAAATGTGAACATGAACAGGACATCGTGCTTTCCAAAACAATTAAAATTCTCATTCACTCTTTCCATCTCCATCATGCTTGCTGTGTGTAATGAAGCTGAAAGACAAGGGGCATGGTCACTGGAGATAGTTGTCAAGTCTGTGATTGAAGCTACTGAAGTTCCCTACTAATATGGCACATGAAGACTTAGCTGAAGAAGTGCTACAGTTCCAAAGTCAAACATTTAACTACCAGAAAATAACCAAGTCATACCCTCTAAGGCAGCCTAAGCTCAATTTCCCTATATATACCCTTTATAATATAGTATTTAATTCCATCATCACAGAAAAGTTACTCCTGAAATTTCCTTCTAATACCTTCTCTGAGCATATGTGTATCTATGTAGCCCTATGAGCTGGGTCTTCATTTCTTCCAGAGAGGATTGTCTTAGAACAAGCAGAGAGAGATTTGATCTAAAGTCTTGATTTCCTAAGGTTTCAAAGGCAAAGTTAACCTGGCATGACTACCTTGAGGAGAGCTGTAGGCAGCCCACAGAGGAGAGAGGAGCCCCAGAGTCTCTTTGTCCCATCCAGTACTCCTTATATTTTACTAGAAGTTGAGTTCACTGATCAACCAAAGAAAAAGCCCGTTGCCGAGTTGGAAAGCTCATCCATGCTAGTTGAGCATTCAGGGGTTTATTTTGCTCTAGAGATAGGGAAAATGCAGTATGGTTTTTAATTCTGTCACAGAAGATAGGCACACATTCCAAGAAGGACTTTGGAATCAGGCTGGTCAGAGATTGGAAGCAGGAAACACCTTGCAAATCTCTGGGAATGAGAGCAGAGGAGCAGCTCTGCAAGTCTCCCTTTTCTTTTGGCAGTAGCTAATTAGTCTCTAAGTCAGAAACAGATTTCCAGTGAAAAGCAAAGCCCTACTCTGGCTGTTACCAA